TATATATATATATATATATATATCATTATGGTGGTGCCCGTAAGTGCTAACTTTATGTCACATACAGCTTAGATATACATTATTAAATTCACTTTCCTCTATTATTATTATTTTGGTCCGATAATTGTAAAATCTCTCATAAAATATGATTGTCAATCACATATTTCAAAAATCAACTTTTACGATATTAAAATAATATTTAATTATCAATCACCTACTTCTAAAATCAACTTTTACAACATCAAAATAATAATTGATTGACAAAAATTATGTTTTTAAATATAAATTAATTCTTAATTATCAATTTTAAAATATTACATGTATATTAAAAAAAATTATTGAGTCAAAGATATTGTGTGACTAGGGGTATGGGGGTTACTCATGAGATTGTTGTGTTTTACAGGTGGGGCTTGTGGTTATGGAAACTTGTACAGCCAAGGGTATGGTACTAACACTGCAGCACTCAGCACAGCACTATTCAACAATGGCTTGAGTTGCGGTTCTTGCTATGAGATGAGATGTGACAGTGACCCCAAATGGTGCCTTCCCGGTAGCATTATCGTCACTGCCACAAACTTCTGCCCTCCTAACTTTGCATTGTCTAACAGCAATGGTGGCTGGTGCAACCCTCCTTTGCAACACTTTGATCTGGCTGAGCCTGCTTTCTTGCAAATTGCTCAATACAAAGCTGGAATTGTTCCTGTTTCCTTCAGAAGGTAATCAAAATACTTCAAACTCCTCTAGTGTTTTTGTTTGTTTTCTCCATTTTTAGCCTTAATCTTAGTGTTGACTTCAAGGAAATTAGTTCTGTAAAGTGAAAAGGAATAAAGTAAAAAATCTTACACCAGCTCTGGTACTTTTTATAAGAAACAAAAGACACTATGTTTTATTTCTTATGTAAGGAACCGAAAGAAGTATAACAACATATGCATGATTTGTTATGCATGTGCACATGATATGAACCGTTGATAAGTTAATTTTCTTATCAACGACTAATATTACTTTTACCTTCTGAAGTAATTACTCAATTTAAAAGTAATGGATCCCACTTAAAATATGCATTAACAAGCTTTTGTTTTTGGCCTAAAACAGAGTCCCCTGTGTGAAGAAAGGAGGAATCAGGTTCACCATCAATGGTCACTCATACTTCAACTTGGTTCTGATCACAAATGTTGGTGGTGCTGGAGATGTTCACTCTGTGTCCATCAAAGGGTCTAGGACAGGGTGGCAAACCATGTCAAGAAACTGGGGGCAGAATTGGCAAAGCAATGCCTATCTCAATGGCCAAAGCCTCTCTTTTCAGGTCACCACAAGTGATGGCAGGACTATCACTAGCAACAACATTGTGCCTGCTAAATGGCAATTTGGACAGACATTTGAAGGGGCACAATTCTAGATAACCTAAGTTCACATTTGTGTGTAATATATGATTCCATTGTTCTCTTGTTCTGTTAAACAAAACAAAAATTGTTCTCTTGTTTTGTTATAGTTGGAAAGGGTGGGGGAAGAGAAAAGGTAGATTAGGAGGAGTTCTGGCCAACATGGCCCCTAATGCTGTGGTGGCTATATGGCACCCGCTAGGCTTAATATTATATATAGTCCTTTTATTTTCTGAGATATCCCATTGATCAATGCCTTTTCATGAAGTAAAAGGTGTTGATGATATCAATTGCATTGTATATTTGATCCCCACAGTGGTATGAAACCAATTTGGGGGTGATTTTATATCATTTCATGATGCTTTTTTATTGCAAGTCTTTTCCAACTCTTGCTTATTCAATGACTATATTAAATTTGACTAATAAGTAATAAATTCTCAAGGGAACACACAAAATTGCACCGACCTCATTTCCTAGTATTTCGATACTCCCTTGTTCTGCGCTTGTCAAGCATGTGAAAAAAGAAGTCAGTTTTTTTTTTTCATTTTTTTAATAATGAATTAGGTTGTTGCCTCTAAATATACGAAGGCTAGAGGACCATGTAGTACATAATTCTTAAAGTCAAGAATTTCGAGAAGCAAAACCATTTTCTTCGTTTTTTACTTTTGTTGTTGTATCCCTTTTTTTTTTCTGCTTTTGGGTTGACTTGGAGCATGAATAGCAATAGCAATTAGCAAGTATAAAGAATAGAAATGGAAGGTTTTCTTGTGCAGCCCAAAGCAAAAGGTAAAAAAGACTAACTAACCTATAGACTGGAGAAAACGGCTCCCGCCACCGGCCACCTAGCTAACTTTGAAAATGAATTCCTACCATTCCTATTCATGCATTTATAATTTTCAAGTGTACTCTTAGAACTGTCAAATGTTTTAAGTAGGACTCCATAAAAATGTATGACTTTTAGATAATTATCGTAAAATTTAACATATTTATTATCTTCGTTCTTTTATATATATATATA